GCCCTGCACTTCCCAGAGCCCCGATGCAAAGCTCATGGGTGGAATCCTATGGAGGGAAGCACCAGTCCCCATTCCGGAGCGTGCTTGCCTGGCGCAGGGAGAGCTCGATCTCATCCCTCCTGAGTACAAAGATTTGGCTAGAGTGTTCAAAGAGGAGGCGGCAGAGGAGCCACCGAAAGTCAGACTGTGCTATAGAGATTTTGCCAGGGCACAAAATGCCCAAAGGGAAGTTGTGCACCATGAGCCCAGCTGAGAAAGAGGAGCTGAGTAGGTTTATAGATAAAAACTTTGCTCGGGGTTTCATCCGCCCGGCCTCCTCCCCCTTTGCTGCCCCCATCCTCTTCCGAAAGAAGGACGGTGGGCTGCGGCTGTGCAGACTACCAGGGCTTAAACACAGTGTCTATGTCCAATGCCTACCCCCTCCCGCTCATCAGAGACTTCCTGCAAAAGCTTCCCAGGAGCGCATTTTCACCAAACTTGACTTGCAAGATGCTTTTTTCAGCGTGCGCATTCGGGAGGGGGATGAGCACAAGATGGCTTTCAATACCCCGTTGGGACAGTTTGAATATCTGGTGATGCCATTTGGGTTAGCAGGGCCCCCCGGGGTATTTATGGACTTAATCAATGAAGTGTCACACAAGCATTTATTCAAGGGGGCACCAGTGTATCTGGATGATATCTTGCTCTATTCGAAAGATAAAGACTCGTATGTAAAGTTGGTCAGGGAGGTGTTCCAAACACTTTATAAGCACCAGCTCTTTGTCAAGCTCTCCGAGTGTGAGTTTCATAAAGATGAATTGGATTTCCTGGGATATTGGATTTGGGGGGGGAGCCTGGGCATGGACCCCCATAAAGTGCAGGACGTTGTGGGGTGAAAGTCTCCTCGAACCCAGTGCCAGCTCCAATCATTCCTCAGGTTTGCCAATTTCTACCGTGCACGCATCCTAAACTTCACCCAGGTGGTTTTGCCCCTTATGGGCTTGTTAAAAACCAAGGGGAAGAGCCCCAACAGTAGCAAACCAAGTACCAAGCTGAACTGGACCCTGGAGTGCCAGCAGGCATTTGAAAGGCTCAAGGAGCTGTTTACCTCTGAGCCCATTTTACACCACCCTGACAAAAATAAGCCTTTTGTGATCCAAGTCAACTCTTCTGATGTGGCTATGGGAGGGGTGATCCTGCAATGGGGTGAGGATGGAAAGCTCCACCCCCTGGCATATGTGTCTGTTCTCCATGGAGCGTAATTGGGCTGTTTGGGATAAGGAGGCGGCTGCCATCAAACTGGCCCTTACAACCTGGAGGCACTGGCTGGAGGGGGTGAGGGTGCCGTTTGAAGTGTGGACGGACCACAAAAAAATTGGAGGCATTATGCACACCCAGGCGCCTAAATGCCAAACAGCTCCACTGGGCAGTTTTTCTCTAAATTTTGGTTTACCCTCCAGCACCTCCCCAGGAAGTTGAACTTTCTGGCTGACTCACTATCCCACCTTCCGCAACATGACACCCAGAGGGAAGAAGTCATAGACTCAATGTTCGCACCCACCCAGTTGTGGGGTGGTGGTGGTAACTCACAGCTGAGCAAAAGCAGAAACCCCCATGGACATTGAACCCTGGATTTGCAAATTTAAAACAGCTTTTACAGAGGAGGACATGGAAGATGTTCAGACTGACAATTCAGCAGAGCTGAATGGGGGTGGCTGTTGGTACAGGGGCGGGAGGCTGTTCGTGCCTGTGGCGCTCTTGCTTATTGGGGAGACGGTTTTACCTTTCAACATATTTTGTGTACCTAAACTTAATAGATTTCTGCTGCCACCCGGAATTAAAAATTCCAAATCTCTCTGTCTGCTGGTAGAATGACCCAGGGTCTGGGCACTTCAGAGGACTATGTGGCCCCGAGGAAGAACTGTACTGATTGCTGGGATAAGCTTAAATAAAAATTGATTTATTTAATAAAGAACAAAATAGGTTTCTGGTTATTTTGAACTGTTACTGGAAAAAAAGAACATGTAAATATAACTGGCAAAACTTGGTGTTACAGTCACTCAGACTTCACTCTGACAGGCATAGTGTAATTTCTCTCTCTCATACACACACACACACCCAGTTAGCCAAACAGGCTAATCTCCTTGTCTTATTCACTCAGAACAGAATCAGCTCTTATAGTCACTGAGACTAAACTGTTTGCCTTATTCACACAGAAGCAAAATTCCAGTCACACAGACCATGCTGTCTCTTCAAACTTCACACAGAACTCTGTCTTAAAAAAAAAAATCTCCTCTCACACTCTCAGTCATCAGCCAATCACAGCACACTCATCTCCCCCTATCACTCCCCTTACATTACTGCAGTCAAACTCAACATTTAAAGATACACAAACACCAAAACATGGAATCATTACAGTGCTTAAAGCATTGAGGGGGGAAATCCTGATTTTGGGGCACGAAAATAAACTGGTGGGGCATTTTGGATACCTGGAAACCCTGCACCTTCTTCAGAGGCAATTCTGCTGGCATCAAATGAGGCCAGATATTTCCCAGTACATGGGTTCCTGCCACACCTGCCTAATGGGGAAACAGAGGCCAGGAAAGCCCCCTGAGACCATACAACCCCTTGAAACGCCAGAGTGGCCATGGGCAGTGATTTCTATGGACTTTATAACTGACTTACTACCCAGTAAAGGTAAAACAGTGATCTGGGTGGTGGTCGACATGTTCTCCAAGCAGGCACATTTTATTCCTTGCAAACAACTGCCCTCGGCCAAGTCACTAGCCAAGCTTTTCATGCACCCCATCGTGTGGCTGCATTCCATTCCTTGCAAGATAATTTCAGACAGGGGGTCACAGTTCATCGGCAAATTCTGGAAGGAACTGCTGCAAGTGTTGTGGGTGGAACAAGGTCTCAGCAGCCCCCATCACCCGGAGACAGACGGGCAGACTGAGAGGGCGAATCAAGCGGTAGAGCAATTCCTCCAGTACTTCAGCAATTACCAGCAGGACAACAGGATCGACCTCCTCCCTTATGCGGAATAGTTATAGTAACTCAGTGCCAATGGCCTCTCCCCCTTTAAGGCTGTGCACAGGTATGAAGGGGCCCACGGTGACTACTCAGGAGCAAGCCCAAACACGGAGATTTGCAAGCGTGGCGGGGGGACCTAAAGGATCGATGGTCCGTGATCCAAGAGACTCTGAGAAAGGTGAAAGAGGACTACAAAAAGCAAGCTGATAAAGGGAGAGCTCCTGAATGGGAGTTGCAACCTGGGGACTCAGTATACCTCTCCACAAAATTGGGGTGGGAGTAGATTGGCCCATTCAAGGTGTTGAGGATCTGGAACAAAGTGGCTGTGGAACTTGATTTACCCAAGGCTCTGAGGCACAGTCACCCTGCATTTCATTTCAGTTTACTAAAAAGGGATCTGGGCCCGAACAAGTGGAGACCTCGTCCAGCTGCTCCACCTCCTCTAATGGTGGATGGTGAACCCCACCAGGTGGTGGAAAAGATCCTCGATTCGAAGTTGAAATGGAACTGACGGTACTACTTGATTAAATGGAAGGACTTTGATGAATCACATAATGAGTGGGTGAACCGTGGACATGTTAGAGCCCCCTCTCTAACCCATGCATTCCATAACAAATACCCTCAGAAGCCGAAGGGGTGGGGGGGTCTTGGGGGGCAGTATGTCAGGCTCAGTGTGAAGTTTATGGTTCACCGGCCATAGAGGAAGGAAGAAAGGAAAGAAGGGTCCTTGGAAGTACTTAAGCATGAATCCTGCGAGGCACAGCCAAACGGAACACAGGTGAGCCCCAAACAGGCCTGGGCACTGCCTCACCTGACTGCTTGAAGGCAGCTGAGGCCGACACAGGAGCCGGCCAGGGAGAAAAGTCCCAGATGAAAACAGTTGCCGGAAAGACCTGTCTGTTCCCGGAAGCTGCAGAGGTGTGGACCGGACTGGAGGCCAGTGGGAGTCCTTCTGCACAACTGCTCTGAGCTTTCAAAAAGCAAGAGGCCAGGGGCACAAACCACTGCACACGCGCCCTTCGTTGATACGCACCTTGGCACCCCCGACCTTTGCAACATCCAGGCACCGCCAACCCATTGCTCTTCGGAAGGTGCTGCCACTTCCTGCCCCAGCCCTTTCCACCAAACACCGCTTCCCCCCGCCCCAACCCAAGAGCATGCAGTTTTCCAAGCAGGAAAGCACTTGAAGGGCACTGCAATATCCTCTAAGTGGGCAGCTGCTGAGGCAACCGACGGAAGAGCTTCCCAAGGATACAGGGCTGATCTGGTTTGGGGGCCCACTGGTGAAAACAGCACATTGATGCTGTTATTGTAGAGGAAGTGACACAGATACCCTGGCCTCTTGAAGGTATGGGGATGGAGGGGGGGGGGGTTTCAAGTGTCGGACTAGGACCAGAGGGAGCTGTGTTCAAATTCTTATGCAGGCTGAGTTTAGCCTACTGCTATGGGCAAAAAAAAAAAAAATAGAAGGGAGAAGAAAACAATTAGTTAGGGGAAGGTCAGGGTGCAAGGATAACTGATTCAATAAGATTGATCAAGACAGCTAGCCGTGTTAGCCTGCAGCAGTAGAAAAGAGCAAGAGTCCAGTAGCACCTTAAAGACTAACAAAATATGCGGCAGGGGAGGAGCTTTCATGAGTCACCGCTCACGAAGTGAGCGGTGACTCACGAAAGCTCCTCCCCTGCCACATATTTTGTTAGTCTTTAAGGTGCTACCGGACTCTTGCTCTTTTCTACTGATTCAATAAGTTTAACCAAGAATGTTTTTCATTTTTCAAATAAATGTATCTTCATCTTCCATGAGCTCTGGGAATGGTGGGTGGGGGATAAGCCAAGACACAAGATTTCACTCCACTCTTCTTCTGGCCATCCACATAAAATCCCACCTTTTATTATGGCACACGGTAACCAGCACTGATGTGTAAGATACCAAGGGGGGGGGGGAGGAGGGAGAGGAATACGAGTGGCGCAAAAGATACAGCCATACCATTAGCAAATACAAGTCTTTACAATGAAGTTTTCAAGATAAAAAAACCTTCGGGTTTTGCTTTTTTTTTTACACTGAAGTAACTGTACAGGTTTTCTGAAATTTGCCAGAATGAGTTTAAAAAGTAAAAAAAAGGTACAATACCTACAAGCAAGGGCTGTGGGTGTCTGAACAATGAAAGCAGGAGAATCCGGAAGGACTCGCGACAGCATCTAGCGGCGCACACAAGGACAGGGGAGCAGTGCACAGCAGGGCTTGAGCACCAGTCCCGGGGGCAGGGGGGGAGCCGGAGAGGAAAAGCAACGGCCAGACCACAAAGCACTCTCGTTGGGTCATGTTAAAGGTATGTCTCTCTCTCTTTTTTAAAGTATGAGGCATCTTAACTCATATAAACTCCCCTAATCTAAAATGAGATGGACCAAGGCCTACCTTTCTGTAAAGAAAAAAACAGAGCGGTCGGGGTTCTTTCTAAGTTCATGATGTGCCAGTGGTGAGGAACAAGCAGAGGGGCAGCCCCCTTTCTCTGAGCCGTTAAACTCCGGGGGCTCCCAGGGCAAGGGAGACACACCATGGAAGGGAGACACCCCACCCCCCCATGGCAGGGGCCAGACCACCGAGAAGACAGGCCCTCCTCCCCCGAATCCCACTTCACCAACTCTGATGAGGGCCTGTCCTCTTTGGGCCAAGGTGAAAAGCAAACTCTTGAGGGTTGCTTCAGGTTCCTTGCCAAATGCGGTTGAAATGTTCTCATGTGGCTTTCTTTTTTTAAAAAACACAAACACAAAATATGCCCCCCCCCATTTCCACACTCCCCCCAACAGTCTCTCAAGTGATGTCGAAAGCGCTTAACAGTCACTCTTCCAAAGTTTAATTGTTTTGTCGTTTTCTAGGGCTGCCGAGGCGATGATGTTCTCTGTCGGGTGGCAGGCTGTCGAGATCACAACGTCTGCAGGGAAAGGGAGAGCAGCACCCGTCACCTGCTTGCAGGGCATCCCCGCCGGCCACAAACTGGGGCCGTTCAGAGCCACAGTTCCAGTGCCCAGCCCCCTTCCCAGGCCTACCCGTGTCACCTTCCTCACCTGCTCGCCAGCCTTACGCACCTGAGCAGCGAGAGGCACCGGCAGGTAAGAGTGCTGGACCAGGTTCAAATCCAAGCTGACTGGGTGACCCCGGGCCATCCACCCATATCACACTTTGCGAGGGGGAGATCACGGGGAAGAGAGAACCCTGAGCACGGCTCTAAGCTCCTTAGAGGAAGAGCCGGATTAAAGGACAAACAAACCAGGCAGATCATCAGCCCCTGGCCCTAGCCGGGCCCAGCGTTTCCCATTTGCCTCACTGAGTCATGACGCACAGAAACATCAAACTTGGTTGTGGCATGAACTCCCATCAGCAAGAGCGCAAGTCACGGGATGCCCTGCTACAGCTCAGTGGCAGAGCCCCTGTCCCTTGTGCGCGGAGGGTCCCAGGTCCGGTCCCAGGCAGCTCCCGCCGTCAGGACTGCCGGGCTGGGAAGACCACTGCCCGGGCCAACCACGGGAGAGCCACGGCCAGAGAGCCCACGGGGCCCACGGGGCGCTGCAGGCAGGCAGCTCTACAGGATCAAACTCTCAGCATAAGCACAGCCACATGTTCCTTACGGGAAGGGGCACCGGTGGTGTGCCACGTGTTCAAAACCTTCATGGCTTAACATCAAATAAAGCTCCAACGTGTCCCAGCTCTTGGACTATTCTTATTATTAAATATACTATTCGTTATTCAATGCATAAGACACAATTGACACACAGATAGGCTAAGGATTTAAAGGAAACTTTACAATCCCAGAGGACTTCACAATTCCAAGAGAGACTGAAAAGCACAAATCCTCAACGTCCGCAGAGCAGGTAAATCCAGTCCTTGAGGCTTGAGGCAAACAACAGATGATGAGCTGCAGTCAACCCACTCGCTGGACTGTCCAATGGGTATCAGTTGTGTTTTGTGCATTGAATAGCTAATAATTGTGAAGTCTTTTATGAGATTGTAAAGTTTTCCTTAAATTGCTGTAAGTACATGTTCCAAGCCTAGCATCTTTCGCGATGAAGGGTCCGAAGAAGTAGGGCTGGGAAAGGCCTCTTAGCCTGATGGACAGATGCAGAAAAATCTAAGTGGCAAAGAGCTGTGACCACTGAACCTGCTGCTTCAGAAACCAGGCCGGCAGCATGGATGGCCCTGCGGAGGTACTGGAGAGCAGCTCCACTCTCAGTGGCAGGAGCTGGGTGGGCTGGAGGATCACACTGGCCAGCTGGCAAGCCACCACGGGACCAGGCTCACAGCTGGGGTGGGGCATTTGGGGGCAGAGCCCCACCACGCATGAGCCCCCCCCCCCGCTGCACCACCCCGGGAGGATGCCAGCCACCCCCCAGCGCACCATGCCCCTTACCTCTAAACCTAACAACTGATGGGGGGAGTGAAACTGACCAGAGGCAGCAGGGCGGTTTCCCTTTCCTTCCCCAGCCTCTCCCCACTGCTGCATGGGGGGGGGGGGGGGGGAAAGGGAAGCCCCACCCCCCACCAAAAGGTTTCTGGCTACAGGGCTGCACAGAACTCAACTGTGTTGCTCCCGAATCCCCCAGAACCTGCAACAGAGGAAGAGGCCCTGCATCTATGTGCAGCAGGGAACAACCTTCGACGGTCCCTTCACCACCCAGGACTGCCCCAAGCTCACTGTCTGGCAGCCCAGCAGCAGCTGAAGAAGGTGGCCTGAAGAACCAAGGGCTCCCCCCACCTGTGTGTCCTTGCAGCTTCTGTACAATCTCTTTCGTTTGGAGGTTCCAGATGTAAACCAGGTTGTCCTCTGACCCAGACACGATCCACTGAATGGCAAAGCAGAGTCACACAGTTAGAAGCCCACTCGCCCTGCCCGCCCAGGGTCTCCCAGGCCCCCTTGCGTCATGGCGCACGACGCCTTGAGGAAAGAGGCCTTCCACGCCTCTTGTGGAGCACCTTCGGGTCACTCTTCCAGGCAGCTTAATCTTTGGGGTGGGGTGCGTGTATGTGGGGGTAAAGTATCAGGAAAAGGTTACGGAAGCCTGCGTTTAGAGGTGGGGGGCTTCTGTGCTCTGGTCTCAAAGCACATTCTTCATTTCCAGATTTTTGCTTAGGCAGGCCCTCAACCTTTCCAGAACCCTCCCCCACCCTGAGCTGCAACCCACGACCTCCCCCAGCATCCGGGCAGCAAAGGAAAAGGGCCGGAAGCCCGGAGCCACAAGGAACGAGCCCCGGGCTGGGATCAGGGAGGAGTCCGTTTTGCCACACCCCCCCCCCCCCGCTGCTGCTCCTCCTCCTCTCAGCGTGTCCACAAAAATGTCGAGGAGGGACGGGCACACTAGCCCCAAGGAAGGGTAGTTCTGGAGAGAGGGCATGACTGAGCAGCAGACCAAGAAAAAACAAGCCGGGCTACAGATCGGCAGAGCCAGTGCCCCCTCCCCAACCTCGAAGCCCGGCCGCCACCCCCAACTCTTCAGAACCAGCCAGTGGGTTCACCCGTCCACAGCAAAGGGGGCAACAGAGCCGCCTTCTGAAGAGTCCAGGCGTGAGGCGGCCACAACCTGCCTGATGCTGCCCCATCCTGGGAGCCAACAAGGCGAGAAGGCTGCTCAAGGCTGGTCAACACCGCGCACCCTCTGTCCGGTCGTGGCGCCAGAACCCCAGCGAGCGGTGGAACCCGGGATGCAAAAAGAACTCCCGGTGTCCACTGGCTTAGTGGACTCAGCAGGACCATCCATTTCTGGAGTAGTACAGAGAACCACCAAGCTACTGCCCATCGGCCCACCCAGCAAGGACTGGGCAACCCTGGCTCTCGGGACGGCACGTCTCACCTTTCCGCCAGTCACAGAGAAGTTGGCAAATATGCAGTATTTCTCATTCTTGTGGCCAGTGTACGTCTTGAGGCACTGAAAGGCAAAATCGCAAAGTTGCACACAAGGGGCATCAGGGTGGAAAATCACAAGTCCCCAGGCGTACCTGTCTGGTCAGGCATCCCCCCCCCCAGACACCTGGGTCACTTTGGCCTCAGACAACCAAAGAGTCCACGTTGCTGACAAATTAACCCCCCCTTTGCAACGGCAGCCACATTTAAGGTGGCCGATGGCAGGCGTCACGTCTGTTGCAGCCCTTCCTAAACGGAGAGATGTGGGGGGGGAGGGGTTTCGCTTGTGCGGCAGGTGAGGGAACAAGGAAAGCAAAGCTCTCCGAGGGACACTCAACGTTCAAGTTCAAAACTAACCAGGCCTCCTCCCTTCCTTCCTGAGAGGGTCAATCCCTTGGAGGAACAACGATGGGCACTCACCTTTCCTTTGCTGTAGTCCCAGAGCTTGAGAGTGCTGACGGGGAGGAAAGCGAGAGAGAGAGAGACGCGGGCTTAGCAAGGCTGGCATGGAAGAAGAGGGACGTCCCCCAGAGCCCCTCCCCACTCACCCCTCGGAGTCACTGCAGCCGGAAGAGACCGGTCGGCTCTCCCACTCCGGAATCGGTGCTGCGGCCGTTCTGCTTCTCCAGACGCTTCCATCTTCACGCCACCCCCTTCTCTGTCCCCCACCCCCGCAATAGCTGACTGTGGCACAGACGGCGCTGGCCTGGGAGCTTAGAAACCAGGGTTCAAATCCCACCTTTGCCCTGAAGTGGGTTTTTTTGTTTTGGGGGCCTGGAGGCCTGCCCCCACCTCCCAACTACTGGTATTCCAAGGAGGTCTCCCATCCAAGAACTTGCCAGGGACGACCCTGCTTAGCTTCTGAGATCTGATGAGATCGGGTTTGCCCGGGGCATCTAAGTCAGGGCTGCCCTGAAGCTTTGGGCCACTTGCCCTCTCTGAGCTCCGGGCTGCAGGGAGGATGAAGCAGAGGAGGGGAAGAGACATCCAACACCCTGAGCTCCTTGGAGAAAGGAATCAAACTGGAGCGATAAAAGACACCCACCTCCCTCCTTGCAAACTGCTCCTCCTGAGCCCTTCATCTCTTCCTCTCCCACCCCTTCCTTTAAGTAAGACTAATCCTACTGGCCCTCCTGGGTCACTGAGTCAATGAAGGGCCACCAGACTCTTGCCAGAAGGGCAGAGACCCACCAAGAAAGCCAGTAAGGGCAGGAAGCGTGTTCTCACTGGTGGGCTTCAGTACTTCATGAAATTTGCTGCACTATGATGTGGCAACATCCACTGACTTAGATGGCCATGGGGAACTCACAAATTCTTGGAGGAGAAGCCTAGTGATGGCCGTTAAATATGACAACTGAACAGAGCCTCCATGTACAGAGGCAATATATCCTGAACAATACACACTGGTAACAAACCATAGTAGAGGCACACGGTGGCTTACAGACCCTACTTGTGCGCTTCCCAGCAGCCTCTGGATGGGAGGGAGTCTGTGCTCAGATAATTCACTCGCGATCTCCCCTGTCCTCTGTGCAGATGACCCACAACAACTCTGACTGCTATTTTACGGCTTACTGAGCTGGACTCCAGGTTTAAAGAGATCCTGTCCCAACTATGAATGGATGGAAGGAAGGACAGACTACAGAGGTATGCCCAGTTGGTAACATCAGGGGCCAAGCCAACTTTCAAGCCATCTCAGCCCAGGTGTTTTGCAACCCTGACAATTGGGACAGCTTTTTAAAATCTCGCCCAGCTACTCTTATGCAGAAAAGTTACTTTGCCTTAGAGAAAGTGTTACCTCTGAGAGGGCAGACCGCATGCTTCCAAAGGGGATCAAAGAAAATCCAGACCCACCCACCTTTAAGGCTAAGATGGTGCCAGGCAGGGAGCACTGAATAAGAGATCTCCTGACCGCTGATGTTTACGATTCTCTAAATTAGTCAAAGGACTGGACATTTTAACAACAGAGTTCTCACTTCAGCTCTGCAGACAGGTGAACTGATTTGGAGCTAACTCTGCAGAACTATTTTGCAGAGCATGAAGTGGACCTGGTGTGCGTGAGCGAGACCTGGGCCAAGGAGGACGAAACAGTTGTCCTGAAGCACCTCCCCCCCCCCCCCCCCCCGGTTTGTCCAGGACTGGTGAAGGCCCTTTGTCTGCAGGGCTCGCAAGGCAGAGATGTTCTACCAAGCATATGGCTGCGGACAGCAACAGTTTTTAACAGGTTTAATCAGTTTTAACAGCTAGCTGGTTCACTAATTGCTCTCCCCCCACCCCACTGCTGAAGTAAACTGAGGGACCAAAATTGTATTACGGCACTGCATGATGTTGGGTTTTATGATATTACTAGGAATAAGGCTCATTGTGGAAATAAATACAACAAGCTCTAGAAAGAGGCTCTGGGAGAGTGCCCTAGCCTTGGGCACTCAGTGTCAATCTGCTGTGGTGACCTCAGCAGGGTATGACACCAAGTCCACCATTTTTTCCAGAGGAACCGATCTCTGCTACCTGAAGAACAGTTGTAATTTTGAGTGATCTCCAGTCCTCACCTGGAGATTGGCAACAATGGTTCCCCATGAGGGAATGGCTGGTTTGGAGAGTGGAGTCTATGGCATTGTACCTGTCTGAGGTCCCACACCTCCTCAAACCCCACCCTCTCCAGGCTCCACCCATCAAACCCCAGGAATTTTCCAACCTGAAGTTGGCAACCCTATCTCCTTCGCAGCAAACCATCAACCTACCTTTATCTGCCCCTCTGACTTCAGCTTTCCATCTCCTCCCCCCTCTCTCCTGGAGAGCAGTTGTAATTCTGAGTGATCTCCAGCCCCCACCTGGAGATTGGCAACAATGGTTCCCCATGAGGGAATGGCTTGTTTGGAAGGTGGAGTCTATGGCATTGTACCTGTCTGAGGTCCCACCCCTCCTGAAACCTCACCCTCTCCAGGCTCCATCCCTCAAATCTCCAGGAATTTCCCACCTGGAGTTGGCAACCCTAACTCCTTCCCAGCCAATCATCAACCTTCCTTTATTTCCCACTCACTCTTCAGCTTTCCACCCCCCTGCAGCCTCTACCATGCTCTGATGCCCTGACTGCTACGTCATATTGGCGGCCATACAGGGGCCATCACAGCAGGATATAAGGACACAGAGTCCACCATTTTCTCCAGGAGAACTGATCTCTGCCATCTGGAAAGCAGTTGTAATTCTGAGTAATCTTCAGCCCTCACCTGGAGATTGGCAACAACGGTTTCTCCCAAGAGGCACTAAGGGTACCTCAAAACACATTTTACCTCAGAACAGCAACAAGCAAACTGTTTAGAATGTTAGAGGCAAAGGCCAATGAGGCCACTTATGCAAATAACCTCTGTGTTCTGACTGGCTATGGGGAGGGAGAGGAACAGCAAACTGTTTAGAATGTTGGAGGCGAGACTCAGGCAACACAGCCAGTGGATAGGGACAGCTTCTGAGTGACAGATCACGGAGCCAAAGACCATGAGCGCCGTGTGGAATGTTCAGCAGCGTGCCACCACCAACAGAGAATTATTATATAGAGAGATTTTTAGATTGTTGAAATGTATTTTGTATGTATTTATATGAACTGGTTGTGCACCACCTTGAGACTGCTTGAGGGGAGTGCAGTATAAAAGCCTAATGAAATAAAAAAGTTATCATGCAAACTATACAGAAGGAGGAAGTCACCTACATCTCATGTGTTGTCAGTGAGCATGTCAGGAAAGGAGCAATCCAGTCACTGCTGCTGCTAGAGGAACCAAGCGCACATTTTAGGAAAGGACTCAGCCCAGCCAAATGCAGGACACCTTCTGCAGCACCACAAATAGCAGGTGTTTATCACCAGAAGTCCTTCTGCCCAGCAGAATCTGACCAAGCACACTAATGCGCAAGACAACTGATCCTGGAGTCAAAGCTAAGGCTGATCTATCTTGGAGTCAACGGGCTGGAGACACAGATCGTGTTATCTTGGGACAGCAGGAACTGTCTTGGGACTGGCCCTACCTTCACAACAGTGTCACAAACCGCTCTGAAATCCCCCTCAAGGCACACAGCATGGGAGGCTGCTGCTTATACGTGCTTCTGTGTGCAGGACTGTGGTTGCTGGGATCCTGGCCATTGTTAAAGTGCAGGAAAAGAGGGCCCCTGAGGGACCGATCCGCCATTCTGCTTCCTTTGGGGAAAGCACAGAAGGGACAGCCACGCCCATTTGCCCCCCAACATCTGGTGATCAAGGAGGAAGCTGCCTCTCGAAGAGGAAGAACCACCTCACTACATGGTTAGGTTAAGTGCCCTCAGATTTGCCCAACCCTCTTATAATTTCTCAAAACAATTTGGCAGATTTGACACCTACTTGTCCAGAGTTGCTGCTAGAATGTATTTGCCATTTGGAGAGAATTTTACAAAAGACACAGGAGGATTGTCATCATCTGTAATGCGAGAGAGAGAGAGAGTCTTGTTATACATATTATGGCTAATTAGGTTTTGATGTCAGATTTTTTTGGGTAGAACACATCACACAAAATTGAACATAGATGACTCACCAATCAACGTTTTCAAACACTGGCCAGAAGCTGTATCCCAGATCCGACTGCAAGGTTAAAAAAAAGGAGAGACGCCATTAGAAATTGCAAAATAATCTATTTTTTAAAAAAGCTTCTGGAGGGACGCTTGGGGACCCAACACGGAAGAAATCTTGCAGTATCCTCCAGCAGATGTTGCCGTATCTTCCAGCAGATGAATCCACCTTTTTTTCCAGCGCAGCTAGCTTCATGTATTCTCAGTGGCAGACCTCCAAGGTTTCAGGCAGAAACGCTTTCTCTGCCAGACTACACAATCCCCCTTTTAACTGGAGAGGCTGTCAGGGATTGAACTGGGATCTTCTGCAAGCAAAGCAGGCGCTCTACTGCTGAGCTACACCCCTTTTTTTGCAGGCAAGACCGTGAACAGTCCAAGTAATGGAACAGACTATGAAGATGACAAAGCAGGTGTCTATCACACACTCATGGGCTGGGATGATGGGGGGTGGGGGGGGAAGCAGACAGAGCTTGCTTTCCGAGGAGGCACTTAAGAGATGGACACAGATATACTAGAAACAAGAGTTGTGAATCAACTGAAGTTCATGGGAAGCACAGAAAAGGAACCGTGTTCATTTCAGATGATTCAGGAGTGGTCCATCTCTATTTTTAACACGCGCACCCATCTCTCAACCTCACCCTGGAAAAGAGATGGTGGCGTTGCTTCCTTTACAGCAATCTCACCACAGCCACTCTTTTGAAAGCCAAGGGGAAGAGGTGGGCCACTAAAGCAGGACACCACCCACCACTGGCCAGACTGGCTGCCTCCTTCAAAACCTCCTTTGTCACAGTCATCCCCACCACGATCTGGGGGAGGCAGAGGAGACACTTTGGGGAGCCAGGATGCTTGTCAACCACTTCTCAGCTGTGAGGTCCACACACAACAGCTGGACCAGCCTTCCTTTCCTGCCCTCAACAGGGAGGAAGTGGCAGGCCGGGCTCACTGCAACCCACCCCCACAGCCAAAAGGCCATTTAGTCGCCACCCCCACCCACCCCCACTTACCAGAGGCCATCATAGCTGCTGGACACGATCAAAGAACCATCGCGGTTAAAATGTACCTGAAGGGAAGAAGAGAGATTTCATACCCACGAAGAACCCGCCTTCCTGGGGAGGGGCCCCGCTGCTTTATTTCTTGGGTGTCTGATGCCAGCCAGGGTGCTCGGCTCTGGCCTCATGCCCCAGACCAAGGCCTGATTTAGACATGGCTTTGCTGGGCAAAAACGCATTTTATTTTATTTTATTACTGGATTTCTAGCCTGCCCTTCCCTGCACATGCAAGGCTCAGGGTGGGGTACAAGTTAAAACAATATAATTATTAAAACAAATTAACATTATAGCAATCTAAGCTAAGATCAGATGGTGCTGTTAGGCATTAAAGCACGTAATTTATCCAGATGACGCTATGCATGCGGTGTAGTTTCTAAGGTTGGCACCCAATGCAATGAAGAGGGGGGGGGGGGGGGGGGGAGGCCAGGGGAGGCCAAATCTGATGGAACTTCACTTTGCGGTGTCGACCGTATGCCTGGTGGGACAGTTCAGTTTTACGGGCCCTGCAGAACGGAACCAGATTCCACAGATCCCAGATCTCATCTGGTGAGGCATTCCACCAGGCCGGGGCCAGAGCTGAAAAGGCTGCGGCCCAGGCTGAAGCAAGACACATATTTTGGGGGCCAGGGACCACCAGGAGGCTGTTATGCACAGAGCACAACGCTCTCTGGGGGTTGTACCAGGGGAGACAGTCCCGAAGATATGCTGGCCCCAGACCATGTCGGGCTTTGAAGGTTAAGACCAAGACTCTGAATTTGATCGGGCATTCAACTTGGAGACAGTGCAGCTGGCGGAGCTCTAGCTGAAGTGCTCGTAAAAACATACGCTGCCACATTCTGGACCGGTTGAAGTTTCTGGGCCAGTCTCAAGGGTGGCCCTGCGCAGAGCGAGCTATAGTAATCTAGCCTAGAGGTGACCGCTGCTTGGATCACCATGGCTAAGTTGAGGAGAGACAGGAAGGGAGCCAGTGTGGCAACATTTGGATCTGGGCCTCCATTGAAAGGAAGGCATCCGGAATCACTCCTAAGCGCTTCACGAGAGGCCTTGGTGTCAAGGGCTCACCGCCAAGGGCTGGAAGTTGGCGTCCCAGTCTAGGCTCACTTTGGCTCAGCCACAGGACCTCCATCTCTGCCGGATTTAGTTTCAGCCGGCTCTGCTTCAATCAACCAACCAACCACAGCCTCTAGACCCCTAGCTAGATTATCTGGGGCAGAATTCGCCCGGCTGTCCATCAACAGATACAGCTGGGTGTCATCAGGGTACTGGTGACAACCCAGCCCAAACCTCCATATCAGTTAGGCAAGAGGGCGCATGCAGATTGCTCCAAGGGGGACACTGCTCACCAAAGGGTGGCGGCGCTGAAACCTTCTCCCCAAGTGCTACCCTCTGTCCCCGACTGTGGAGAAACGAGACAAACCATTTTAAGGCTGTCCCATGAATCCCCACATTGGCGAGGTGGTGGGTCATTAGGTCATAATCGACTGTATCAAATGCTGCTGTCAGGTCAAGCAAGAACAGCAGCACTGACCCGCCCCGATCCAGGTGTCTACGGAGGTCATCTGCGTGGGCAACCAAAGCCATCTCTGTCCCATAGCCAGGGCAAAAGCCGGATTGAAAGGGATCAAGAACTGAGGCATCATCCAGAAGTAAATGGAGCTGTTCAGCTGCTGCTCTTTGTCCAGGAATGAAAGATTCAAAATTGGGCTGTAGTTGGATGGGTCAGTAAGATCCAAGGATGGCTTCTTGAAGAGTGACCTCACCACCGCTTCCTTCAAGGCCCCTGGGAAGATCCCTGAGTTCAGAGACTCCCCCAAGGGGGACCTGAATTTCATCTCGGCTGGCTTTCACCAGCCACGATCGACATGGGTCTAGGAGGCAAGCGGTGGGCTTAGCATCACCCAGAATTCTGTCAACCTCGTCTTGGGAGAGCAGGCTGAATTGATCTAATTCTAAATCCAAAGACGGCCAACGGGCCTCTAGTTCATATACTGTATCAACATTTGCAGGCAGTTCCTGGTGGAGCAATAAGAGTTTATCCGCAAAATAGTTCGCGAAAGCCTACTAGCTAATCCCCAAATTTCTAGGGTTTTTTTGGTTCCCTCTGAAAGGGAGGTTAATGATCTAATTACGCTAAACAGTTGAGCCAGGTGAGAGCTAGCGGCTGCAACAGAAGCCGCATTTTTTCTTTGCTGCCTTCACTGCCACCTCATAGGATTTCGTAAACGTCCTATTAGATGTTCTTGTAGCTTCGTCACGAGTCCGTTCCCAAACTCGCTCTAGGTGTTTAAGTTCCTGTTTCATCCTCCTGAGCTCCACGTTATATCAAGGAGCCAATTTGGTACGGGAGCAAAGATGGTGCCGGGGGGGGGGGGGGGGGTTCGGTGGCTCCAGCACACCTAACAAGTCGCCTGGGGGCATCAAATCCCACAGAGTGTTCCGGAAGCCAACTGGATCCATCAGTCTCTGCAGGCGAGCAGAAGTCAGCTCGCTGCCTGAGCAGGGAGGGGCTGGGACACTCAAGACAAAGCGGTCCGGCCGTGGCACTGCATCAATGGCATCCATGTCCACATCTGTCCCCACCCCGAAGATCAGATCCAGCTTTTGGCCCACTTGATGTGCGGGACCTGATACAACTCGGGGGGACTCCCAATGCTGCCATGGAAGACTCGAGGTCCATGGCCTGTGAGGAAGCATCAGCATCAGCATGAACACTGAAATCCCCCAGAACTATTAGTCTGAGGAACTCCAAGGCCCAGCCTGATACAGCTTCCAACAGGTTATCTGCTGGCGCGCTAGGCTTATCGGTACACCAGCCAGATAGCCACAGTCTCCTCGGTTCCCCATGCCAGACCTACACAATCAATGCAGATCTCAAAGGCGGGGAGTGGTCTGAAGGAGAAATACTCTCGAATGACTATCAACCCCCCCCCCCCGACCTTTTGTCTGGGACTGATGGAAGATGGAAAACCTGGGGGGGGGGGTGAGTTCTTTCAAAGCGACCGTTTCACCTTCGCTCACCCAGGTCTTGGTCATGCAGACCAGGGTCTGCCTTATGGACTGTAAAGTAGCTATGCAGAATAGCGGGCTTATTATTGATGGACCTGGCATTGTACAGCATCAGTGTCAGAGAAAGGTTTAATTTCCTAGCCAACATGTCACCCAAAGAGTGGAATTCACTGCCACAGGAAGTGGTGGCGGCTACAAGCATGGACGGCTTCAAAAGGGAATTAGATAAGCATATGGAGCAGAGGTCCATCAGTGGCTATTAGCCACAAGGTATAGATAGGGACTCTGGGGCAAGTGATGCTCGGTCTTCTTGGTGCTTGGGGGGGGGGAACAGTGGGAGTGCTTCTAGAGTACTGGCCCCACTGGTGGACCTCCTGATGGCACTGGTATTTCTGGCCACTGTGTGACACAGAGTGTTGGACTGGTTGGGCCTTTGGCCTGATCCAACATTGGCGTCTCTTATGTTCTTATGATAGGACGAAGGTCGGTACCTTGTCCCACCGACATACCTCCCACACACCCCAATCACTGGAATTCCCAACTCCATCTGGCCTCCCCCAGACGCCAAATCCAAGTGCACAACACATCACACTCCCACACAGTAATAACAAATTTATCAAAATTAATGTAAGTAAAATAACAGCCTCACCGTTTCCCTCAATCCCTCCCACCCCCCAGAGCCCAATAATAATTATAAGTCCCACCCTACTCATGGATTTGGATGGTACATGTGCCTGCGCTGGGCAAAAAACACTCTCCTGGTGATGCAGTGTCAATAACAAGCCACTGCTTAAAAATTAAAAAATTTAAATATTTTATATATTTTTTGTAACAATTAAGTCTATACAGTCTCAACTTGTGTTAAAGCTCAAAAACTATCATGGAATTAAGATGATAACTTCTAAATATATAATTTGAGACAACTATCCTGCCAAGGCCTGACCGTGATCACAAATATTAACTGGTGAGGAAGAGTGGCCAGTAGTAGTCAGAGTGTCAGACTAGGACCCAGCCACCACCTCGGAGTGGGAGTGGCTCTCCAGGTTCTCAGGGTGTTTTACAGGGTGGCTTGAGATAATCATTTTGGTTGTCCTCTTCAGCACTTGTTCTGTTATTCCATTGGAGCCCCACATTAGGAGGATGTGTGTGTGTGTAAAAACTAATATTTCTCGGCAAAACTGGAGTTCCTTGAGTTTGTAGAACTCTATATTTTAACTGTGGCTGGTCCCTCCCACCCCCAGATGCCTGCCTAAAATGGAAAGGTGGGGAAATACTGGGATTTGACACTGCAATTTTTTAAGGAGGAGAAAGAGAAGAGGAGGATGAGAGGGAGGAGGAGTTGGATTTATACCCTGCCCTTCACTCAGAGTGGCTTACAATCTCCTTCCCTTCCTCCCCCCACAACAGACACCCTGTGAAGCAGGTGGGGCTGAGAGAGCTCTAAGAGAACTGCTCGAGAGAACAGTTCTGAGAGAACTGTGACTGACCCAAAGTCAACCAGCTGGCTGCATGTCAAGGAGTGGGGAATCAAACTCGGTTCTCCAGATTAGAGTCTGCTGCACTTAATCAGTGTAGTGGTTAAGTGCATGGACTCTAATCTGAAAGAACCAGGTTTGATTCCCCACTCCTCCACTTGGAGCTGCTGGAAAACCTTGGGCAAGCCACAGTTCTGTCAGAGGAGTTCTCTCAAGGAGAATTCTGGGAAGAGCTCTCTCAGCCCCACCTACCTCACAGGGCATCTGTTGCAGGGAGGGGAAGGGAAAGGAGATTGTAAGCCGCTCTGAGACTCCTTTGGGTAGTGAGGGGCAGGGTAGAAATCCAAATCTCTTCTTCTTCTGGGAGGCAGAGAGGAATGAGCAAACTGGGAAGTTTGGCGGCCCTGCCCTCTACTCCCTGCGCTAAGAGGCAGCTCCAGCTCAGAAAGGTCTGTGCAGGCAGGGAGGCGGTGGGGAGGAGAGAAGAGAGCGGGCTGGTTCTGGCCTGCAGGCTGTAGGTTTGACAACTGTGTTGTAAGCTATTTTGGGTCCCCATTGGGGAGAAAAGGGAGGTACTACGTCCGTTTCAGGGTAAATGGCAAACTGTTCCAGAAATCCCTGCTTGCCAAGGAGGTTCTGACAGAAATCACACTAAGGGACTGGGAAGTGGTCACTGAAGGACATGGGTTCAGAGACTACGGAAAAGATGGCCCAGTTTTCAAGAGCAGTGGCTTCTTCTGCAGCAAGCAAGCATACAGAGCACTCGCCTCCTTTGACCAATCCGTGCTCACTTGACAGACTGGCTGGGAACCAAGCCAGCATGAAAGCTTCTCTCTCTCTCTCTCCTCAAGTCTGTGAAGAAACAGGAAGACGAAGGCAAAGAGTGACTGAATTAGCTACGCAACCCACTATTCTAAGCTACAGGCATTCGACGAAGGGAGTTCTGACTCTCAAAGGCTGATGCCCGGGACATTTTCTGAGTCTTCGAGGTGCTACAGGACATGACTCTGGCTCTTCCTCTACGAGACATTTCTCATGCTGACCTGGCTGAAGTGGTCTTTTTCCTTTGTGTCCATAAGATACATTTTACATCTACAACTAAAATATTCAAAAATATCATCACTCGTTTTGTTATATTTGTCCCATGTGCTGTTGAGGAAAAACGCCCAAGTGGCTGGCTCCAGCTCAGCAGTCTCAGAGTCTGCGGGTGGTGGTGGCTCTCCTCCACACAAGTCTGCGTCCCAGACTGCCAGCACGCCCACCCATGCGGCACACTCCTACAGGCCAGCACATAGAACAGGTACCGTGGGATTCGGATTTCAAATCTACCAGGCGAACCAGGTCTGTGAAATCTCAGTGCTCAACATACGAATAAGCCACCTCTCAGTTTTGCCCAGCTTCAAATCCCAGGAAGTGGCGGAGCAGCAGGCCGGCACGCTTACTGGGAGAGAAGAGACGGCCGCCCAAACCATCCCCAAGAACTTACAGCTGAAACGGGGTCAGAATGCGCTGGCAGTGTTTTGAGGCACTTCCCTGTCTTCACGTCCCATATCCTCACGCTTTCGTCAAACTGCAGGAGGAGCAGAGAGGAATTCAGAAGACGCCGTTTCCCTCCAGCCCCGCTGTCAGCAGCCCGTTTCTCAGCAGTGAGCTACTCCAGAGGCTGCTTTGCTCCAGGCCTCGGAAAGGCTGCTCCACTCCCCGCTTCTTCCCGAGGCAGGAAATCAAGAGCTCGAGCCCCCATCCTCTCCCCAAGCCTTCCCTCCGTTCGCTCCCTTTCCCCACCCCACCCCAGGGCACGGTCATTCCATCACCCAGAGGTGGGTGGCCTCTCTCTACATTATTCCCGCTCCTTGCCCTCACCCAAGCCCAGCTCTCCTGCTCTGCTCCCCCCCCCCCCGCCAACCCTTGCCCTGGAGGCTGCAGCCTCTCCTTCGCAGACACCGCCTGTTCCTGCCCTGCCCACACCCCAGCTTCTCAGCCTACTCTCCACTCCAGTCTGCAATGCTGCAACAGTCTTTTATGCCCTGCCTGGAGCCGTCGCTCACTTGCTTCCTCCCTGACAGCAACTATAAAGCTCTCCACATTATTTACTGAAAATATTTATAAGCCTGCCTTTCTACCCGCAGGTGTGCCACCTGGAGCAGCCCCCCTCTTGCGGCCCTGCGGCACCACGCATGCCCAGAGGAAGGGCAGGCGGAGGCTGCCCTGCCTGCTCCCTCTACACGAAGAGGCCAGAGCGCTGAACCTCCTCTCCCCTCCATGCTTACCGAGCCCGAGACAATGAGGTTCGACTGGGGGTTGAAATTGCAGCAGAAGACATAGTTGCTGTGCCCCTTCAGCGTCTTCAAGCATTTGCCCTGAAATAGATGAGCGAAAGAGAGTGTCATGTATAGGACCTCCCCAGAAGCTGAAGCACGCATATTGGACTGGGGTGTAGATGCAACCCTAAACTCTGCCATTTGCTTTCGTGTGTGTGGATTTTCTCAGCACCAGCAACCCATCTGCAACATCAGCACACTTACTCCTCTCACAAGCCTGCAGGGACAAGACCTTTTCCTCACTCTCATATTACTCAGGGTCACTCCGCAAAGCTGACTGGCAGCTGGGGCAGAACAAAAGGAAGTATTTCACACAAGGCATAATTATGGAACTCTCTGCCATAGGTTATGGTGATGGATGCTAGCTTACAAGATTTTAAAAAGGAATGGCAGACAGGATGTATCAATGGCTATGGGCCACAGTATGGTGATGGATGCTAGCTTACAAGATGGAATGGAAGACAGGATGTATCAATGGCTATGGGCCACGACTTTTAAAGGGGACTTCCATGTTCAGAGGCAAGTACCAAGTGCTGGGGTCGAACATGGGAAGATGCTGCCTGTGAACTTCCACGAGCATCTGACTTACTGATAATGAAGGCAGAAGCCTAGATTACTTGGACCATGATGTTCTTCGGGTAAACAAGAACAGCATTAGTTATTCCAGGCCTTTCCACCGGGAACTTCAGTCACAAATTTACATGCACTGTAATCCTGCCAAAAGAAATCCCTCACAACTCCTTAAACTTGAATGGCAGTCACGTTAAACAAGTTGCCAAGGTTAAAAAAAAAAAAAAGCATGTATAACTCTTAACAGGCTAAAGGCTGGGGAGCAAAGTTTCATGGGAAGAATTCTACTCTCATTATCAGCTGAAGACCCTCTTCCCCTCCACCAGAATATCCACTGCAGCAGACTGACACAGCAACTACACTTTATTTCAAAAAGGAAAGAAGAAAAAAATGAGAGAAAAAAACTCAAAATCCAGCAACTAAAGAGAGCTCCGACTCTGCTGTCTTAAGCAGTCACAACACCATCTAGTGGAATGAATCATGGACGACCAACGAAGTTTGTGGCAGTAGGGTATGAGCTTTCTGTGAGTCACTGCTCAAAATTTGTGGCATACCCTGCCACAAATAGTGTTACTTTATAAGATGCTACTGGACTCTTGCTCTTTTCTACTGCTACAGGGAAAGTGTGTGACCAAAATTAGACATGCTTGCTTTGATATCCTGATGCTTACATCTGACAACAATCTTTGAGAAACTTAACTTCCAAACCAGACACTTTCAAGAAAGAATTAAAATTAGCTTAATATTTCTGTTATGCATAGACTGCCTTGAACACTTCAGCAGGTATTTTAAATAAGCAGGATATTAAAGGAAGGAAAGGGACGGGAGTGGAATGTCATTGGAATTTTTGATCTATCCTTAACTTCAAGAGGAGGCTCAAGGCTGGGGAGAAAACAAAAGTCCAATGGCCCCTGGAAGGTTTAGCAACACTTATTCCAGCTTGAGCTTTCATGAGTCAGACCTTACTTCTTTACTTGTTATGCTGGAATAAATGTCAGAAGTCCAGAGGCACCTTGAAGACTATCTCATTTTCCTACAATGGAATAACACAGCTACTCCTGTGGAACTGGGGGAAATAATCTCAGTTAAAGACCCTGTCAAGGTAAAAGGGTTTGTACTGAAGCCCAGCTCAGGATCACAAGTAGCCTTAGCTAGACTAGGTAACAGGGCATTTAACACTATTGGTATGTAACTGTAGCAACTGTCCAACAAGTGGAGGCAGAAGACAGGGGAAGAAGTGCATCTTCAGGCCTCTTACCGAGCTCACATCCCAGATTTTTAGAGTTTTGTCATCAGACGCAGAGACGAGGAGGTTGGAATCTGATGACCAAGCAACATCGGAGATTCCCTGTAACAGAGAAAAGTTTAATTTGTTAAAATGTAAATTTGTGAGTATCTCATGTATAAATCATGTGAATATTATCCAGAATAAAGTGGCAGAATGAACAGATCAAACGGCCTTATACTGAATCAGACCTTCTTGGTCCCTCAAAGTCAGTACTGTCAACTCAGACTGGCCGTGGCTCTCCAAGGTCTCAGGCAGAGCTCTACCACTAAGCCACAGCCCCTCTAATTCTGGACGGATGGGCAGAATAAATAATATTTTTAATGCTCACCCAGATTAAAAGCTCCTCCACTTGGAAAGATACAAGACATACACTAAAACTTTCTGCTTTACAACAAGGATCAAACTACATGGCAGGAGGCATTCCAAAATATAACAACCCCCACCTGAATCAGACAGCTCAAGAACTATACCACCTTACACTGCACAAATGTGTTGCTGGGCTCCCAGTTCTGTTCACATTTCCCTTCAAAAAGATGGCAAGCAGACCCATTTCACTTTCATGCTTCCAATTTGCATAAAAGACTGGCAAGGCAGGGGGAAGAAAGGACACACTATTCCAAAGCCAAATGTGCAACAGCCTTGACCCCAAAGGCTACCAAGGATTCCTTCCCGGCCAGCAGCAGAGCAGACCTGCCATTCAGCAGCCCCTCACTTGCTCCCCCACCCCACCCCGGGCAATTCCTGAAGTCAGCAGATCAGCACTTACCAGTTTGTGGCCAGATATTGTTTTCTCAAATTTGCCATCATAAGCTCCCCAAATTTTAATAAGCTTATCAGCAGCTTTAAAAAAAAACACAGAAACACCATCCATAAAAAGATGAACGTTACACACCAAAAGTCTCTCCTCACCCCTCTCAACAGAAAGGGGAACCAGAAAAGATTTGCAAAATATTTTTAAATGTAAATGTATGAAAATCAGAAGTTCTGTGTGTTGAAGTTTACATATATTATACAGGACGTGCAATTTAGCTTCCCTCAGCTGAGAGTTTTAGTGTCTTATCAAGGGCACAACAGCCCTGAAAGAAGGCACGGAAGGCATGTTAGTGGTGGGGAAAGGTGTGGGCCCCATCACAAGAGGTACTTACAAGAACTGGCCAGCCACTCCCCATTGGGGCTGAACTTTACCGATGAGACAGCTTTTGTGTGTCCTGCCAATGTGAACTTCAAGGCGTAGTTTGGTTTTACAGGGGCAGGCTGAGGAAAGAAAAGCCAGCTTTCAGAATGACAATAAACGCTTCACAGCTGGAGACACCAAGCCCAGGGCTGCTCACCAGCCACGTACACAGGCCTGTCAAGGACTTCACAAAACACACCCCGTTTCAGCAGTCCCAGGAAAGCAGCACAAACAGGAAGTGTGCCAGGCCTTTGGAGGGCCATAGCACAAGACCGCTTCTGGCTTGGCAGGTCAGATTGGGCAGACGTACAGTAACCTTGGGTCACTGTCTGGTAGTTTATGGAGCTGTGTGGGTGGGGGGCGATCGGCTCCCCACAGGCACAGCCAATCCTAGCTGGGCTGCCCTCTCCTGAGAAGGCAGCGCAGAGCTACGCTGGCAGGGACTGATGGGATCCCCATGGGCACAGCCGATCCTGTGGTCCTGCGGGTGGCAGGAGAAGGCAGCGCAGAGCTGCGCTGGCAGGGAGCTCTCAGCTCCCCACTGACCCAGCAGATCTTGGGCTGGCTTCTCTTGCAGTCCGGTTTAAACCAGGCTGTGAGAGAAGCCAGCCACAGCCAAGGTGGCAGGGAGCTCTCAGCTCCCACCCACCCCGGCTGATCCTCGGGCTGACTCCTGCAGGACCTTTGAAGTTTAAAGGAACTGCATAAGCCTGCCCGACAAGCAGCTGGGCTGTTTTCAGATCTACCTGAAATTCACAAATACATCCAGGATTCCCCCCCCCCCCCAAAGAAAACCCAGATGCATTTGGGAAGCCAAAATATACCCTAAAAGACCGATAAGATGTTTTCCAGGTATATTTTCAGCTTGGGTAGATCTGAATGCACACCCCTAGCAGCCTCCAGTCCGCCTGATCCTTTAACCTGGAGACAGCAGGGATTGAACCTGGGACCTTCTGCGTGCAAAGCAGATGCCCTACCACTCAGTTGTGAGCCCCTCTCTGTCTTTCCAAACTAAGCACTATACGGAGATTCAATTTAAGCATGATGTAAGGCACAATTTATTCAGAACACATCAGCTTCGCATATTAATACATGAGTTCTAAATGGAAGGTATCCCCCTCCTCCCTGGAAAGATCTTGGGAGTCTGAGGTATAAAGCCTGAGGCACAACGTTCTTCTGGTCTGAGTGTGGATTAGGAGAAGACCTGGGTTCAGATTTCTACTCGCTCATTTGATGATCTTGACCCAGTCACTCACTTTCAGCCTAACCTACCTCACAGGGCTACTGTGAGAATAAAATGGAAGAGGGTCAAGCGATGTTTGCCGACCTGAACTCCCTGGGAGAAAACCTGGACAGAAATGCAAAAGCGAGCTCCCTGTCCAAAGGCAAATTCAGCGTTTGGATTAATCATGAAAACCACTGTACCACTATTGTTATTAGGAAGGAAACTGAACACACACAGTGCCAGCTATGGGGAGGTGTAACAGGTTGGTGCTGAG